GGAGGATAGGTGTAACGTGGGTGTAGGATCTGTGGGATCTAATTGGTCGATCTGTGGGATCTAATTGGTCGATCTGTGGGATCTAATTGGTTGTCGGGAGGTAATTGGCAGAAGGCGGTCTCCGAGTATCCAGGTCCGATACCATGTAGGGCTTTAAAAGTAACGACTAGCACCTTGAAGCGCATCCGGCGTCCAATAGGCAGCCAGTGCAGCTCACGGAGGATAGGTGTGATGTGGGTGTACCGGGGTGCAAACACAATCGCTCGCGCGGCTGCATTCTGGACAAGCTGAAGTCTCCGAATGCACTTCAAGGGCTGTCCCATGTAGAGCGCGTTACAGTAGTAATATCCCTACTTCCTGATATGATTGTATTTATCTTCTGGCCTTTTGTTTCTCTGTTTGATTTTAACTGAGCAGGTGGTTAATCAGTGAAGAAAAAGGAGGAAAGGTTTGCTTTTCTAGTGTGACCTGTTGTTGTCTCTGAACCAATTGTTTTGATCTTTTTGGGGTGGATTTCTCTTTTACAGCACTGTTCCAACACCTTACGAGAGGCAGCTGAATCTGGATAGCCACTACCAAAGCAGGGAGAGAAGCAGCCACAAGAGGAGATGCTCCAGCTCCGGGTAAAAGCACGTGGGCAGTGGGAGTGATGGCCTTGACAAACCAGCCCCAGGTGGGCATGGAATTAAGCACTGAGAAATGCATCTGTTTTGTTCTTGTCTTCATATTTGTCTCTTGCTGTAGATCAGTGATGGTTAACCTTTTCAGCATTGGAGCGTGTGTGCATCGGAGCACCAGAACTTGGAAGATAGCAGCTGGCCAGTGCACATGTGCGCAGCAGCCAGCTGCTCTTCCAGGTTCCATTGTGCGCACATGTGCCGGCCAGCTGCTGTGTTCTGGGTTCCAGTGCGCGTGATGAAATCTGGAAAAGCAGTTGGCGACGGCGTGCGTGCCCACAGAGACGGCTCTTCATGCCACCTCTGGCACACATGCCATAAGTTCGCTATTACGCCTCTAGATGGAGAGCAAGTTACTGCTGAACATAATTTGTAGCAACCCCAGCCAACATGGCCGATAGTGTATAGGTACTCCCACTACAGACAGTCTTTAACTTACAACCCATTGCCGAGAAAGCATTTGAGGTTATGATGGACCTCTTAGGAGTGCTTTTGTCCTGAATTTGAACAATTCCATCGCCCCTCCTGCGATCATTTGTCCGCACTTCATGTTCTTATATCAATTGGGCCATATTTATGATGTTTGAAACATTCTGTGGTTACATGATGGCATTCTACAATGTTTTTGCCCAAAACTGGAATTTATTTTTGTTTTTTTGGCAAAACTGTGCCTGTGGTGAACCATTGCTTCACTTAACAACTGCAGATTCATTTAATGACTACTGCAAAAAAGGTCACAAAATTTACTTAGTCACGTAGGTGAACATATTGATGCCTGTCACAAGTTATAAGCATGATGGGCAGGTTCCATTACAGTTCTTAAGTCAAGGACTTCCTATAGTGGGAGCACCTGAGGATCATAGATTTCTGGTCCCTGGTTTTAAAAAAGAAAAATTAGCTACAGTTAGTAAGAAAAATATATTACAAGACATACCTGTATGACTTGCCCACTTAAAAAAAAAATCAGGAGTGACTGTTGTGAGTGGCACACCATAGGGGGATCATCCTGTTGCCATTTTAAGTACATATGAGGTCAATCATTTTGAAGGTTTCAAAATAAGATCATCATTATGTTGGGAACACCAAGTTTTCTTTCTCTGATTTACCTTAATCAAGGGAGGGTCTGGAGATACTAATTCACTATCTGGATTTGGCAGAGGGATAAATGAGAACAAATAAGTTAACATCGCAGGGACGCAGTGGCTCAGTGGCTAAGACACTGAGCTTGTCGGCCAGAAGGTCTGCAGTTCAGCGGTTCGAATCCCTAGCGCCTTGTAATGGAGTGAGCTCCCATTACTTGCCCCAGCTTCTGCCAACCTAGCAGTTCGAAAGCATTTAAAAATTCAAGTAGAAAAAATAGGAGCCACCTTTGGTGGGAAGGTAACAGTGTTCCATGCGCCTTCAGTGTTTAGTCAGGCCAGCCACATAACCACGGAGATGTCTTCGGACAGTGCTGGCTCTTCAGTTTTGAAACGGAGATGAGCATTGCTCCCTAGAGTCGGCAACGACTAGCATATGTCCTAGGGGAACTTTTACCTTTAAGTTAAAGTCTCAAAAAGATGGAAACTTAACAGGTGGTTTGCAGGTTTAAAAATTTGGTGCTAGATGTATTCTGGATGAAAGCGCATACCCACTGAAGCAGCAGGTACAGCATTAATTACGTTTTTATCCAAAATTTCAATGCACAGATTAACCCTTAGCAAAATATTTTCTGGCACACAGCAATGCTCTTTCTTGAACAGGGATGGCCTTGCTATGGTGGGTTTATGCTCTAGGAATGATTAATTCCTAGAGCTGTCCTCAAAAATAGTTAATACCTTTCAAGTGGTTCAGAATTCAACTGACATAGCTAGTTTAATAAACTGTTAAGAAATTAAACCATTGATAATACTTCATTAAACTTGCATACTGCCTCTCATTGGTTCCTAACGATCAAATAAAAGCTGTCACTTTTAAACCGCTAGTTTGATCCGGCAACTAAATAACTTGTTTGAGTATTTTACATGTCTAGAGGTTTTTGAATGGACTGAATTATTGGTTGAAAAAATGATTAAAGGGGAATGAGGTATAATTACTTGTATCCTTTTGAACGACAGTTTATGAATAACAGGTTTGAATAATTCTGGGATAGTAACAGATAATCTGTGCCCATGTTTTTATCCCCTCCTCTTTTATAAGATCACAAGAGAAGAAACCCAAGCTATCTGAGAAATCCCAAGAACGGTCATCCAAAAAGGCTAAGATCTGTCATGCTAATTCCAGTTCTACCACATCAGATGGTTCACCCAAAGCAACAATAAAGACACCGGATCCAAACATTGCAAATATTGAATTGGTCCCATCTTCAGGTATCACAAGAGACTGCAGTGAATTGCCCACCTGTTCTCAGGACTACAAAGAGACATGTAGGAAGACCTTTGCGGAAAGCCATAAGGATACCTGTGCATCCAGGTGGAATTTCACCTCCATTGGTTTTCCTAACATGGGGGCTGATTGCCCTCAAGTGTTCCTGCCAGAGCCTGATAAGAGGTTCCTCCCAGAGAATGTAGCAGCACAGGCAATTGACACAAGCCATTGGCATAGGAGGCTCAACCAGAAACAGGAGCGGTTGACCCGCAAGGAACAGGAGCAGCTGAAGTGGGACAGCAAATACAAAATCAGTGTCAATGAGGATGCCGAAGTCCAGCGTTGCACCACCTGGCAAGAATACAAGGCACTTCTGAGAGAGAGGAGTGGTTGGGAAGATCTCTGCATACAGACAATTGCCCCACTTGTGAAACCAAGCCAAGGACTTTCCACAGGTATCTGTTGTGGACCACCAGTGCCCAGTGGAGCTGGCAGCAGATTTGGACAGTGAGGAGGTTGGGGAGGAATATGGCCCAGTCCTGGAGTCGGGGGAAGGCTCTGAGGAGGGCTCTGTGTCAGAGGCGGAGGGGGGGCCAGAGTCATATGCCAGTTATCAGCTGCCTTCAGAGTCAGACGACATATCTTAAAGATCAGTCAAATGAGAGATATAAACGAGACTGGAAAAAATGAATTGACTATATACAAAACAAATACGGGACTAAGAAATTCCAGATAGTCTACGCTTAAGATCAGGAATGAGTTAAACTGTTCAAAGTTAGTGTAACAGGAAGAAGCTAAGATCAATGTAGAGATGTTATTAACCTCTTTTTTTTTTACTTTTTTTTGTCTCAATATATTTTAGACTGTGTTTGTGAAAAATCTATACCGTGTACGGGCTCTGGGAAGTCCGGGGTGGGGGGAGAAGGGAGGTGGGGTGTTAGG